CTGAACTAGAATCTGAATGAAACTGAATGAGTAACAGAATGACTTCCGTGTTTGGAGTGTATCCGTACTGTATCTTGATATAGTAGAGGGGGAATGAAAAAACTCACTATTTGTTAGGAGTGAATTATAGAGAGTTGTTGGATGTAAATATCGTTGAGATCCTTTGTGATCATTAGAAGGAGAGCCCTCGTATATTAAAAATATTATAGAAGAATTGCAATTCCTTCGAAGTGGCCGGTCGGGGTCACTGTGGTCGGCCCAAAACAGATACTAAAAGTTTGTTTGCATTGACTTTCCTGAGCTTACCTAGTAGCATAAATTTTGTGAAACTATTTGTTAAGGAAAACTTATGAAAATAACTTATAACGTTGTTCATAAGGTGGTTTTTAACTTGTTTTTATAAGTTCTTCAAGATAACTAAGTTTTATTTTTTGAATTTTAAGTCAAAGTACAATATACAATATAATAATAACAAAAATGATAATAATAATAATAATAATAATAATAATAATAATAATCGAAGTATTTATATTTATTAAAATAAGACAGTCTAATAGACTTAAAAGACATTTTTATGGTTTGAGGTCGCATTTTTAACTAAACAGGCTTATTAAAAAGCTCAGGCCTTTTTCATTTATAAAAATCTTGACCTAGCTTGGGCCTATGTAGGTTAAACCTTAAGCCCGTGTTAGTTGACCTGACCTATTTCCACCCCTAGTGTCAATATACCACTTATTTGGCATTAAGGACCTATATCTAAAGGGTTAACCCCTTCCTCATAGCCTAAACTCTCCTAAAATGCCTTCATGTTTTCCTTCACTGATATTTCCTCCAAGGTTAGAGATTCCAAAGAAACAAAATAGGAACGAGGTTCTTTATTAAAAGGGTTTCATACCCAACTTTTTTGAATTCGGTAACCCCGACTAACCATTCTCACCTGGGAAAATTCAGGTATCAAAGATTTTTCCATGAAGATAAGCTTAGCCTCTAGAGTACGAGGGTGCACCAAGAAGAAACAATCTTTTAAAGTTTCCCTAATTCACAGAGTACTCGCTAAACTGTTTGATCTTTTGCCTCAACAAGATCAAATCCAGATTTCGAACAAGACAAATCTTGATTCTAAGGTTTTGTAGGGAGGTACTCTCCAAAGGAAAAAGGTGGAAGAAAAGTTTTAGGGTCAGCTTCTAACTCTGATATTTGCACCAAACTAGAACACTTTCACAAAATTCCAAGCGTTAGGGAGCAGTTGAGAAGGTGGAATTTTTAAACGTCTCAACACTCTTATTTTGAATTCATTGAAGGCTAGTCTAAAATTTAACAGACCGAACAAATACTCATAAAAGGGGATAAAACACCCATCAAAGTAACTACATCTTATTATAGTATACAAGGAAGAACTCCCGATCAAGAGAGAAACCCACGTCTATGAGAGCATTTTCTCTTTGGCTGCACTGTCAAAAACATAAACAGTCTGTAGAAGTCCATGGTCTGCCCAATGATATGGATTCACATCTGTCGGCTTCTAGGATGGAAGACCTGTTAGGCCATTACTCGACCGGAAGCTCAAACGTATCACCGTCGTCAGATTTTAAAGTTCATTTTGTCTCTTGATCTCAGCCTCGTTGGAGTCCTGATTTTGTATAATTATATATGACTTAATAAAATGTTAGAGTATCCTCTCATCTCAGGAGAGAATCTTTGTTGAAGATAAAAGACTGGAAGAGGGGAATGAGTCACTCGTGACCCCCTAAGGAGCAAAAATTATCACGTCGAACATCTTGGTGGATCTCCTAACGCTCTAGGTAGAAAAGACACTAGAAGACTCATCAGAAAAGGCTTTGTCGAAATAAGTTTTACAAAAAACACCATTAGATTCAAATTTTTAAGAAATAATCACAGGACTTGAATCAGAGCTATACACGTTGGAGAAGAATTATTCAAGTTATCTGGGTATCCTGCCTCCACAGATGACGAAGGATCACCATTACTGGAGCTACCTCTTGAATTAGCAGGTGGGTCATTAACATAGGCCATCACAAGTATAAAGGAATGGAAACTATGAAACATGAATCAAGGGTTGAAAATGGTACCTGGTAGGAAGATGAGTTGGAGAGATAAAGAAAAGCAACTGAAGCAAAAGGTTGATGACAAATCGAAAGACACATCACTCCAACAAGGGAATAGGACACCGTGACCAGAGGCTACTAGAAGTTTGAAGAAATAATGATGGATTGCAAAGACAAAGTATACTTCAACTAGTAAAGAGAGCGAAAGTTCATTCAGAAAGACAAACAACTCTTATATAGTAAAGGGTGAATCAAGCGAGCAACAATTTAGATGGAAAGAAAATGGGGAGACGAAGAGAAACTATCATATCATACATTGGGAACTTCACGACACTCAAATGCACTCAGACCCTATCGTACTAAGTTGTACGACCACGTGTTTAAAATTCACACGAGAGTTCCATGCGATGGGAAAGACATTTAATACATCTGTTCCCCACTCCTTAGAGGTTGGACTCATAAACTCTAGGCCACGCTCGAGTCAGCATTATAAAGCCAACATATATTCTACAAGATTTTCCGTTCAACACTTCACGAAAAGTCTTAAGGGCAACTGTTCTAGACTAGCCATATAACCAATAAAGGGGACCCCACTTACTGCTCCAAAGAAAGCCCAATGACTACTTAATCCAAATATATATACCTCTACATGGGTAAGGGGAGAAGTGCACACATATTTTTTATACTTCACTTTAACCCCCCTTTTGAACACATTCATTGACTTAGACGTTAGAATAATAACTTTACAAGTCCAACTCTGCGTCTCACCACACTAGAGACTTACATCATTGCATTAGGAGGTTATCATCACAATTCACATCTATTTCTAATTCTCATTAGAAATAAGTAAATTTAAGTATATTGATTTGAAAAGATAATGACCGTAAAATAACACTTCTTTCAATTTAAAAGAATAAAATACCTCAAATATATAAAGAAAAGGGAAAATAGAGTCAACGAAAAACATGTACAAATTTAATAGTATTATTGTTCTGACATGAACTACCATATTATTTTTATGATGTGAAAATATTTTACAAATTTGATGGATAAGTCTACATAAGGCATTCAAAAACAATTAGTTGTAAAAGCAATAGTATTGCAGATGATATAAACCAACTGATAGTACTAATAGTGGATAATATCTAAGAGACTCAAAAGCTAACAAAAATTCAACTAAATATTTTTCTTATGAGAAAATTTTACAAAGTTGATTAGCACATTGTTGGATGATTAATTTGGAGATCAACATGAAAGAAAACTTAAGTGTTGAAGCTTTTTTTAATGAACAACATATATTTATTTAAAACTTTAAGATAATAAATATATGGATTCTCTCACATATAAAATATATAATTTCCACTTTTTAAATCAATGTGAAACTTTCACACCTTTGTTTTTCAACATTTGTAACTCATTTATTTTTCTCAACATATATACACACCCTCATTCCAAATATTTATAAATTTGATGAGCACATATACACAGTCTTACCAAAACAATAACATGCAAATGCCTTATATATACATAAAGAAAGAAACACATTAAGCCCGTGTTTGGAACCACGGTGACAAAGCAAAGCTACACTTTGTAGCTTCTCAAAACCACGGTAGATAAATGTATGGTGGCCCTGGAAATAAGTGTAAACAAATACACGCTAAATCTAATTTATAGGATTATAAATGATAACAAAGTAATAGTCAAATAAACAGTATAAAAATATGCAAATAAAAATAACTATAAAAACCTTTATAGTATGCTGTTTACATTTTATAAAATATAGTGGATGAAAAATCCTAAAACAAAAATAAAAATATTGTTGGTGATTTTAGTATCACCAATGTATTTTAGTAGTAATGTGATTTACTAAAGGCCGATGCAATTATGCGTTAAGCTAAGAAACGAGTTAGGGAAGTGCATAGTGCACGCTCGTCGAGCCAATGTATAATTGAATATGAATAATTAAAACGGGGCTCCAAAGCCCCTGGCAGGGTACGGGGCAGCGCCCCGTTGGGGTTCCAAGGGGCGAAGCCCCTGGCGGGGTACGGGGCAGCGCCCCGTTGGGGTTCCAAGGGGCGAAGCCCCTGGCGGGGTGCGGGGCAGCGCCCCATTGGGGTCCAAGGGGCGGAGCCTCTGGCTGGGGTCCTGTTCGAAAATTTTGAATCATTTTTCTCAACCGACATAACCGTTTTTTCGAACAGGTGTGTCTTTTCGGTTTCAGTTATTGATCTCCTATATAAGGAGTCATTTGGTCTCGGTTTCAAATACGAAAAACGACACTTTCTCTCTACATTTGCCAGAAACAGATTGTTCTTCGAGAATTATCCCCACAAAGATTTCGTGAACCCAGGCAAGAATAGGGTCGAAATACTTTGTTCGAAAAGTGTACGAACACGATTCTTTGAAGTTATCCAGGATTATCATACCCAAATATCTAACAAATACTATCATGAAAATTAAATTAGAGTCACTAAATAAATGTGATTATGCAAAAAGAAAGAAAATGAAAAGAGAGTGATTATAGGAGGAGATACAAAATTGTTAATCTTATTTTAACATTTAAAAATTGACACCATATTTAAACACAGTATAAAAATACATAATTTTTAATTATTGATTTAATATTAAAAAGAATGAAAAAACGAAATTGCATCTAAATCTTAAACAAATGCGGTGTTGAGCACTTCAAAATTGTGGCAAAATATCATTTCTCTTTATATGACATATAAATGCTTGATGTATCAACAAATAAATTTAATAGCTGTTTTAATACTATATTAGAATAGATGTCACGTTACATTAGGGTGTTACAAATTAATCTCATCATAATGCCATAATACTGATGGCAACCTCTTTCAGCTAAGATGAACTGTATTTTGTTTATGTCGTTTAAGAACTAGGTTACTGCTATAGGGGTTGTAGAGAGGCAAAACATCATAAATTGGTCCATGTAAAAGCAACTGGGCTCCTAACTTGATGTCGTTTGTTGCTCCATGTAATACTGCCAAATTCAGACGTACCCAAATCATCAAAAGTATCTTTGTTGGAGACAAAGTTCACCGTATATGTTTGCCTTTCTCCAACTTGTTGAAACACAAGCTTTGTAGGACTCACCGTTATCCCCACCGTGGATGGTCCAGTAACGGCCACATCATAAACGGATTCTGTCTCCCCAACGTTAGTTAATGTACGCTTATATTGAACAACAACACTATTGTTTCCAAAAACAACGGAAAATGATGGGTAATTGAGTTCACCAGGATCAGACAAAGAGTTGGAACAATTAACATTAGGACGCTTGACAATGAGTTTCACATGGTCAAGTGTGTAGTTTAAGGAGCACAAGAATGGTATGTAATCGTTGGTGTCTAAATCATAAACAAGACCAGGAGATAGGGCCTTTTGTGGGTTGACATGACCGGCCCCATAAGCCCATGGTGTGGATAAAGCCTCTCCAGTTGCATCCCTTAGAGGAGACTCAGTGTTGTCATGTGTGTATGCTGTTGTCATCAAAGCTGATTTGATGGCACTTGGACTCCAATCTGGATGCGCCGCTTTCAGCAACGCAGCTACTCCACTTATGTGCGGACATGACATTGATGTACCTTAACACATTAATCACATCATCAAAATTGGTAAAATATTTATGTTGATAATTGTGTGCATCCTACTAAATTATTTGACAAAAAAAGTATTATAAATTATACTCAAATATATACCAGACATGATGTTGAATTGGGTTTTGCGACTATCTTGTGAGCCCGAGGGCCCAACAGCACCGGTCCATCCAGCTAAGATGTTGACGCCAGGTCCAATAACATCTGGTTTGAGAATTTGAGGAGTCACACCGTTGGGCCCACGAGAGCTGAAAGATGCTACCACGGGCGAAGGTCTCACGTTCAATACAGTTCCACCGAAACTAAGGACAGCCGTTGGATTACGATCCAACGATGCGTATTCTCTAATCTCATCGCCTTCGTTTTTTCCCACAGCTACGGCAGGCACTAAGTGACTGTCAGCGACCAATCCCTCGCCGCTCGACGCCGTGTTTGCCAGAATCATCCCAACTCCGCCGGCGATGCTCACCACTGTGCCTTTTTCAACACGTGAGTTCACACCTCTATCACAAACTACCACTTTCCCGCGTACGATTTCCGGGTCAAGTGAACCGGGCATACATATGCTGCTGGATGAATTGAACCGTTCGTTGAAATAAACCAAACTAACCGGTTCGTCTCCCATTCCTTCTCCACTGTAAAGCGAAACGCCGGAGAATCTTTTTCCGTTTCCGATTGTAGCGTAAGCTGGGAAATCCCGATCTAGCGTCCCTGCTCCGACGGTCATGATCCACGGAGCTACATTCGATAACGAACCACTCCGAGGTCCAGTATTCCCCGCTGAACACGAAACGAATATCCCCTTCTCCACCGCCGTAAAGGCTCCGATTGCGACGGTGTCAAAGTAGTAAGGAGTGGAGGAAGCACCGCCGATGGAAATCGATAGAACATCAACACCGTCTTGAATCGCCTGATCTATACCAGCAAGTATGTCAGAGGCAAAACAACCGTCACTCCAGCAAACTTTATAAGTAGCAACACGCGCCTGAGGTGCCATACCACGTGCTGTACCGGTAGCATAACCGAGAAGAGTAGCATTAGCAACGGCGGAGCCAGCGGCGGTTGTGGCAGTATGAGTACCGTGTCCTTCTCTGTCGCGAGGTGAAACAAGGTCAACTGTTTTCTTTCTACCACCTCCGTTAGCAGCCATGAGATAGCCCTTGGAGAAGCTTCTGGCACCGATAAGCTTTTTGTTACAAAGAGAAGAATCGAAATCTGGTGCAGACTCACACTCTCCACGCCATCGAGATGGGATTGGTGGCATTTCAGAATCATGAAAGCTCTGTGATTCTGGCCAAACGCCAGTGTCAAGAACACCGATAACAACATCGTATGAAGGTTGATGAAGATACTGAGAATGGGTTTGAATTTGAAGCAAACCCAAAAACTCAGGGGTGCGGGTAGTGTGTAGCTCGTACAGTGTATCTTCGTACACCCCCAGAACATTATCAGAACCACGCAATGTTTGCGCTTGTTGAGTATCAAGAAAAACAGCGAAACCGTTGTAAGAGGTAGTGTAGGTATATAGTATGGAATCAGAAGTAGATTGGAGAATGGAAGAGAACATAGACATAGAATCATAAGCATTGTGGTTGTGTTTCATGTGAACTATGTAAGTCTTTTTGGTCGCCAAAGCCATTTCTGTCACTGATAACAATAGCATTGTGAGAAGATAGAATATTGAGGTTGAAGATGCCATGGATTTTTTTTAACAGCGCAATAAAACACCGATGTTAATGTTCATATGAACGATTCTTAATGTAAAATTGAAATGAAACAAGAGTCAAGAAGACAATACGAATTCAATTTGCGAGAAAACAATTATAAGCAAGAGAAGCTCTTCACTCTTATCATCAGCTTGGCCTTTATTACAAATAAATAAATAATAAACAAGAATAATTTGAGCTGGTTACTACTACTTATCAATTTGTGTATTTAATTATTTTGTTTGAAATTACGTTTCTGCCATTGTTTGATAATTCTTGGTCTATCTCGAAATAAGTTTTTTTTTTATTTAAAAAAATTTGTTCTAAAATAAATGTCCTTTTATTTTTTCAATGTAATATTAATTATTTTTTATCAATTTCTAATTAATTATGTAACATTATTCTCAAGATTTTAAATTTCACTTTACTTTTATAATAATGTGAAATAATCAATAATTATTAAGAATAATTTTATAAATAATTATATTTATTCTTTAAAATATTACTTTTCTTAATCAGTATGTCTCAATTTTATAAACTAAAGAATATTTTAAATATAATTTTTACTTTTTAGTAATATCTTTAGGAATAATATCTTGTGATTCCTCCCTAAAGAATGTTTTACTTTTTAGTACAAGGATTACTGTATTATTGTAAGAGTATAACAATAAAAAAAATATTCTCATCTATTCTATAATTTTAGGAATAAAAAAATGGGAATGAATTCTCAAATATTGAAAAAAATATGAGGGATGAATTATACATTAAATTATGTTTTTCTATTTATTTTTTTAAGCACATACTTCTTCCCACTTCCGTTGAGCATTTTAAATAAAGGAATTGTGATTTTTATCACAGAAAAATGAAGAAGCAAGTTTTGCATTGGCATAACTCTCAAAAAACTATATACAATTTAGATATTGAGTTAATAAAGAATAGGAATTGTATTAGACTGAAAATGCATAAAACATTGTGAAGATATAAAAAATTAAAGAAGAAAATTAAAGGTGTACAGTTCAGTTTTTTTAACGGTAGGAAAATATTTAGTAATTGCACATAGACATAGATGGTAGATACACCAAAATCAAATATCCAAAATAGATTGTGTTTTGAACCGGGTCATTGTTTATGGAGAAGTATCACTAAGGCTCACTTATTCCCAATTTATAAATACCACCTCTTTGGTGTCTAAATTTCACTTTATTTTGAATTTCTCCATAACTAAGTGCTAATAGTGTAGGTTACCTTTGTCCATCATATCGAAATTGGATCCCTATTGTAACGTATATCTCATATTAGTTTCTCTAATCATCATCGGATTATAATAGACAATAGTTATGTTGTTTGTGAGAATCACAAATTAATTCATGCTAAATCTCGTCACTGAATCTTCTTATTCTAGATCTATGTTTCTTTTGTGATTGCATCTAATGGAGACAATACATAAGATTCCTAAACTAAGTTGCATCCCAATACTCTCCATTGACACCCTTGGGGGAGATTCTTTCGATCGAACACAATATATCTTATCAATTTTGAAAGTGCACACGTTTGCTTACGAGAGACGGGTCTTAGGGTTTCTGGGCGAAGAAAAAGTGGACGAAATTCCTAATGCAGATTGTTCTTGCGAAAAATACTAAACTGAGTAACTTCCTTGTAGGGACAAGGAGAGTCGCAATATATGATGATTTTGGGGGATTCGAGTGGCACAAAAGTATTTGTATGCACTCAAGAGTATATGTCTTGCTTATCCCTCTAGCGGGAGCCCCTTTATATAGTGCTCCTGGTGCTCCATTAAGAGCTTCGATCAAGAGGTGACTCTTTGGCTTCTGAACCGTATAATTGCCTTCGTCGCCATGAATGTGGGCGTTCAAGATGGCATAACGTTTGTGTTAATGCATCGACAACTGTTATGATCATTAATGGGTCGTGCTGCTAGCCGGCTACTAGCAGATGTGCTCCGGTTACGTATAATATCCTGGTTAGTATCACAGATGGGTTTCTGCTCGAATACAATGTCTGTCCCATTGACCCTTCGTCGAGTTAAAACTCGGCACTGGTACTCTTTGTCTCAATAGGCTATATATACTCGCTTTGTTCCCTTTCCATACGACTTTATGACTCAGTTATAGCTAATATTTTCGGAATGTACATAAGTCTCTCGGGTATAAATTATGCTATAAGAATGAAGTGTTCAATCAAACAGCACAAGATGTATTAAGGTTTGAACCGGGTTATAACCCGACTTCACCTTTGTCCACGTGTCACGAACTGAAGAGCCACGTTCCTTGGGTAACTTCTCTCTCATAGCGTAATGATGATTTTTATTGGGACTTATTTATTTGGTGATGTTTCCTTTTCAAATATACAGTTTATTGGGCCCTTATTTAGACCCTATTTCTTTCTTTTCTTTTTCATCTTAGCACTAGTAACGTCTCGCTCCAGAGAAGTTTGCATTTCACCAAAACATTCCTCACTTTCAGATACCTCCTTCTCGTTTTCTCTTTATTTTGCTCTTTCTTCTTTTTATTTTTAGAAAATGTTAACCATAAGAGAGTGTGACGATGAGGGAAATGTTGTAAAACCTAGAAACACCGAAGAGAGAAAAGAATTATGGAACCAATGCATGCGTGAGGTTAAGAGTTCCTTAGGCCAGGAGGAATTCGATCGAATCATAAGAGAAGTTTATGGTGATATCCTCGTCTCTTTAAGTTATTTTGACTCCAATTCTTCCTCTTCGGGTTCTGTAGAAATCATGGAAACGACTTCCCCTTTTGACCTCGAAGTTATGGGCTATAAAAATAGCTCCATGGATGATGAAGAGATCGCTAAACTCCGATCTATGATGGATGCTTCTTCAATCGGGAACGAAGATTACATCATCCTAGAGTCTTGTACCCCTGAGAACGGGTGTGCATACTACGCCCAAAGAGTTCCCACAAAGAGTTCTTCTATTTATATGTTGGGGTACTAGAGGATTTCAAGATCCACCTGCCTTTTTCAGATTTCGAGGTACACAAACTGAAGACCACGAATGTCGCGCCCTCTCGGCTTCTCCCTAACAATTGGGGTTTTATAAAAGCCTTTGAGATAGTTTGTGAGGCGATGAATATTATCCCTACCGTAGGTTTGTTCTTTTCTTTCTTTGAGGTTAAAGGGGTCGAGAAATGTGCCTGGATTCAGATTAGTGGCATTCCCCACAAAAGCTTTCTCCAGATATATACCTCGAATTATAAGGGTTTTAAGGATCGGTTTCTGCAAGTCAAGTGTGGACCATGAAACAACCGGCTGAACAGTCATCGGATATAAAATCAATGAAGTCACCACCGAACATCTTTTATCCCGCCAAAAGGGAAAGGTAAACACCGAGAAAACCTGAAGAGGGTGAAATCACGGTCTTACGACTGAGAGATCAGGTAAGGGAGTCGGTTACGCAAGGGGAAAGTATTAGAACCCCTCACGTCCGTAGTACTCTACGGTATCCACTATTGTTTGTTCTAATCTAAGGGTGTGTTAAATTTATGTCTAAAGCTTAAAAGCTAAAACGAAAGATGCAAGGAGGGAATGCATGCAAAATAAAGGACAAAATAATGTAGAGAAAATAAAAGTTGTGCTCGTTCGGGCCCTACCCCAATGCCTACGTATCCCTTTTAAGGAATCAGGGAAGTCGTAGTTCGGCTCATATGTTTTGGTTTATTTGTGTTTTTTAGTTAAAAAGACAAAAGCGATAATCAAGATGGAAAAACATCATATAAAATGACAAAACAATAAGCAACGATGATAAAACATCAAAACAAGGACGACAAGACATCACACGGAAACACAAACTCAGATAAGATGATAACACATAAGCATGATAGCAAAATATCGGATAAGATGATAAAACACCACACCTAACAATGATATTTAAAATCAAAGTAGGATAACAAACATAAGCGATGGCAAAACATCGACAAAAAGATAGTAAAATATCATGGCAAAGATGACAATACATCAAAACTTAGATGATAAAACATCACACCTAACAATGATGTTGAAAATCAAAGTAGGATAACAAACATACGCGATGGCGAGACATCGACACAAAGATAACAAAGCATCATGGCAAGGATGGCAAAAATATCAAAACTTAGATGATAAAAACATCACAACTAACAATGATATTGAAGATCAAAGTAGGATGACAAACATATGAGATGGAAAAACATCGGAAAAAAGATAGCAAAGCATCATGGAAAGGATGGAGAAATGTCAATTTAGATGATAAAACATCACACCTAACAATGATATCGAAAATCAAAGTAGGATAACAAACATATGCGATGGCAAAATATCAGCAGAAATATATAAAAGCATCATGGAAAGGATGGAGAAACGTCAATTTAGATGATAAAACATCACACCTAACAATGATATCGAAAATCAAAGTAGGATAACAAACATACGGGATGGCAAAACATCGACACAAAGATATCAAAATATCATGGTAAAGGCGTTAAGACGTCAACTTAACAAGATTTAAAACAGAGCCAAGAGGCGTACAAACAATTAAGATTGGTTTGTATTTTTTACCCTGAAGAAGGATTTAAGTTTATTAGAGATGTTTTATGATTTGCTAAAAGAAAGAAAGTTTTTGTTTTAAGATGCAAGAATTCAAAAGAAAGAAAATAACTAAGGGATACTTTTCTAATCTCTAGCCCTAATGTTATCATACAATGAATGACCTTAAGGCTGAGTTTTGAAAGGGAAATATCTACCCTATGTTACCATGCATTGATACCTATCCTAATGTCTAACTCAAAAGCTACTCTAATCGAGCGACTCTAAGGGAAGTATGGTATAGAAAACAAGTAAGCAAACAAGGCACATATGCGGAATTGCCTTAAACAGGTCTTTAAATAAACCAGAGGGATTCCTGATAGATATCAGCAATGGAGGTCCATTTTACGCATCTCTATTCCTTCTTGATATGGCAAGGAAAGCGGTAAAATTC